GCAGCCTTCTGATAGATTTTACATTTAGCCTCACAGGGAAAAAGTTTGGGCACCCTTGTTCTAGGCTGAGTTTGAGACCCAATAGCTAAAGAAGTTAAATGATACTCATTTATCATTTTATTTGGTGATTATTCAGCTGTTTGGCTTCTGATGAACAATAATATACACGTGCAACCATGTCACGCAAGTCATCTCTGTGTAACGTCATTTCAGAGAAGACAACAGACGAACCAGGTGGAAGCTGCAGGTACATGAGACAACAGGCAGCCCATATCACTATCATGCTGTCATGCTGTCACACACACACACACACACACACACACACACACACACACACACACACGCACACACACACAGTGAGTCAGGCTGAATTCAGTAAAAACGGCTGCTCTGCTCTCTGAGTCATCAAAGAAATGTTGCTAAAATCCTAAATCTGATCAAATCTGGTGACTCCTGTCCAAAAAGCCTCCTGAGAAATCCTAAAATCCTCTAAACCCTTTTCTGTACCGTTTTATAGAATCAATCGTGTAAAAACCTAGAGGGCTGAAGGGGAAAGCAGACTGTCGCTCATCTCCAACACACCCTGCCAGGCCTCCTTGACTCATCCTGTTTTTGTGTTTGGGCGCTTTTTTTTTTTTTTTTTTGGCATTCACTTTGGAAAGCAAATTTAAATGTTCAGGGCGGTGACTGTAATTAAAACTTTTAATACAATGTAACTCCCACTGGAGTGGGTCAGAGCAGGTACAAAACTCCAGAGAGCATCACACCAGCTGCAGCGGACATGGTAAGTCTTCACACAAACACCTGGACTGGGGCTTTTTTATTCTTTCACGCATTTTTTGATAAAAATGTAACTTTTAATTTATATAAAGTGTCTTCTTAGGAATTAGCATTAAGATGCTTTCAAATGTTGATTGTTGCTGCTTCTTTATATTTGTGAAGGTGATGTTTCAGCTGATAAAGTTCATCATTAATGATCGTAACCTCTGAGCTGACATTTTTAGATAAACTGAGTTTTTACAGCAAAGAAAGTCAGTCTTTCCACTAAAGATCGAATATTTGTTTGTATTTTTGTCATTAACAAGATATTTAGAGAGTAAAAACGTGCGTACATGAACGTGCACTGCTCTCCGTCTCTCGTTGGAGGCGATCGTTCTTGTTGCTACGCTGTCATCAAGCGAAACAAATAAAAGTAAGGTGCGGCCTCGCCTTAATGCCAGACTGCAGCAGAGCCACACCTTGTAACAGCCTGTCCAACTTACCTCTGCAACAAGTTGTTGTTTTTAAAGATTTCAAACAAATTACAACCTGCAGCTCAAATATCGCCTCTGCTCGAGCATTAAAAACAACAAAAAGTCTTGAAAAAAATACATTTCATATAATTTTTATGTAAATGCTGCCACAAAAAAATAGGAAATAAAATTTGCTTCATTATGTTCGATTAAAAATTGTGATTTTGTCTAAAAAAATTGGTTGATAAATTGGGATAATTAGAAAACATTGAGGGATTTTAGCTTTAGAGGAGAAACCTGAACGCATTTACCTTGAAATATGTCAATAAATCATCTGAGGAGTCAAATAAATTGCACTGTAGCTCACATTTTAGTTTCTTTAAAGGAAAAGCTCTTTGTATTTTATCTTTTAATGCACAAGTTCTTGTTAGGGATGGTTAATATGTGATTATTCAAGCGATGGTTTTAATTTGTTCAACATGAAACGGTCACATTGGCAAAAGAAAAAGCATCAGTGTTGCATGTCGGTCATCAGCCGCAGAAAAACTCTACTTTCACTGAGGTTGTTGTTGTTTGTTTCATTAAAGCTGCAGTTCACCTTAAATCAAATCCAGTTTTGAATGTTCTCTTTCATGCAGCGATGAAACCTCACTGTGGTTTCATGTTGCTCCCGGCTGGCGGGATCAAAGTGTCGATGAGAACAGTGAGCGCTTTTCACTCGTTGCGTCTTAATGTGGAGAAGTCGTCAACAAGATTTGTTCGTCTCTTACGTTTATTAAAAAAAACACAAACACGTGGAATAAATACTAAAGTCAGTAAAGTGGTTCAACGTGGACTGATCTGTTCATGTTGGTGTTTTATTCACCTTTTCTTGTGTTCAGATAAAAAGCAGATGTTTTTTGATAATTAAGTAGAAGGCCCGACCGTGCAGCCATTTTATGGGCCTTCCTGGTCCTGTTGAGGGTTTTAGAGGGAGCTGGTGATGGGCGGGTGCACCACGGACAGACAGGTCACACACACACACACACACACACACACACACAACATAACACACTTTGGAGTAACCAATGGACCTGACGTGTGTTTTGTTAGAAAACTAAAGTGCTCGGGAGAAAAAAAATCACAGAACGTCTTTGAAACATTCAAACAAGAAGAGTTTTTATATAATAACTTCAAGATTACACTTTCTGTTAATTTTGTTAACTCTAACTTATGTCCACCTGGTTTCCAACAGGGAGTAAATCTGTGCACGTTCAGACCCAAGCTTTGCTTCAATATTCTATATGTTTTAGACAAAATGCTCAAAACACAAACTACATCGGACTCGTTTGTGCTTTTTGTTTTCTCAGCACGTGTGTGATTTTATAACGTGTAGACCGAAGAAACACAAATCAACAACTAGAAGGTCATTTTGTTCTTAAAGCAGCGGATCGCAAACCTTTTATGTCGGGCTCTTTTCTTTGGAGAAAGTAACCCCCCCCCCCCCCCCCCCCCCAGTCCCACCCCCACCCACAAAACAAAACATTAATCGCAAAAATACTCAAGTTTTCATGACATAAACTTAAATATTTAAAATCTAATCTAAGTAAAATAAAGTTAAAGTTAATTCAAATAGAAAATGTCAATCTCAAGGTATTTTGACTATATCCTGTGAATATAACAAAGTTATGTAAAGGCAAAAACACATTATGAGGGTTGTTAAAACAGAAAATGTCAATTTATGGACTTTGTGTGGGTAAAATTACTTGAACATGAAATAATGATTATTGATTATAAAAAACAGGCAAACTAGACAAACAAAACGGAATCAGTGCAATAAACATCCTGAATCATTGAATGCATTTATCAGAGTACAGTTTACATCACATGAAATAAAAGGAACTGACGCCTTTGCAGAGAGAACTTTGTGAGTTTTTGGAGAAGAAACAACGTTAAACAGAAAAACACCTTTGCTATGAGCTTGTGCATCACATGAACTGGTTTAATTCCATTAACGGCAGCAGCTGAAACAGAGAATCACACTGAGAGAGAGTCAAACAGGCTGTGCCCTCCAGCAGCACCTCATCACGTTTGACTCAACACCTTTCCCAGCAGCTTAGTGAAATGAAGTGGGAGGAGTGGAGGAGAACTCACCTCAGCTGGGTTGACTTGGAGCTTCAACTCAGTAAATGTGACGTCTCCCTTGTATATTTTTAAACACGATAAATACACTCAGTTCCACAATCCTCAATTTAAATCCTTGGTTTTAGTGACACCATACTGCTCCATTTTCCAAACATACACTTTAACAAAGAGAAAAAATTACCAATATGTTAAAATATAGATTTATTATTTGTTTTGTCGTGCGTCTCTAAAATGGGTTTGGGCTGCAATGAGGTGTTGCAACATTAGTTCCTCCTGCTACATGCTCTGGCCCGGGGAAAAACAAAAGAACAAAAAGACAATTGATGTAGCCCCCCCCCCCCCCCACACACACACACACACACATACACACACACACACACCTGGCACGACTCTGGGCCCCCAACCCAACATGTGGGCACACATCATAATGCAGTGAACAACTTATTATTATTACTTCTTATTAAAGTTCGTCTTTTTTAGCTTTTACACGTGTATTACACATGCATTACTTTTTCCAGTCCACTTTGAGCATCCATCCATTATCTTTACCCGCTTATTCCATTATGGGTCATGGGGGTCGCTGGTGCCCATGTCCAGCAATCACTGTGCGAGGGGCGGGGTACACCCTGGACAGGTCTCCAGTCCATCACAGGGACACATAGAGACAAACGAGACAAACAACCATTCACTCTCTCACTCACAGCTAGGGACAATTTAGAGTTACCAATCAGTCTAACATGCATGTTTTTGGTCTGTGGGAGGAAACCGGAGTACCAGGAGAAAACCCACGCATGCACGGAGAGAACATGCAAACTCCACCCAGAAGGCCCCTGGACCGGGGTTTGAACCAGGGACCTGCTCGCTGAGAGGCAGCAGCTCTAGTTGCGCCACCTCACTTTGAGCAGATTTTTAAAATATAAACATTTTATATATAAAATAAAGGTCAAGACACTGTAAATAGTTTATTGTAAAACGAAAGGAGACATTTTAGTATGAAGGTCAAAGTAAAAACTACATTGAACAGAAGTACTTGTGGCTGTAATTCACTTATATATTTTTTATTTAAAATGCAGTTTTGTTTCTCAATTATGAAGTGAGTTATTTTATTTTCTCCCTAATTCATGGGTGAAACTGCAACTAATTTAATAACTGTTAACAACTAGTATGATGGTTTGAAAGATATAATGAAGCAAAAAGCTGTTGTCGTGTGAAAACAGTCATGAAATAAATAAGCTGTTATGAAAAACACAATTGTGACACACAATAATAAAAATAGATTGCTTTTCTCATTTCATAATGTTTTATTTATTTATTTAAGTTGGAGCATTTTGGTGTTCTATACCCACAGACCAAAAACACCCATGTTAGAGAACTCTAATTGTTCCTATAGGTGTTCGTGAGAGAGTGAATGGTCGTTATGGACTGGAGACCAGTCCAGGTGTCCCCGCCCCTCGCACAGTGGGCACCAGTGACATCCGCGACCCAAAAAGGAAGAAGCGGGTTAAGATAAGAGCCAGGCCGATTTGACTCAGCTTGTCTGTGTGGAGGGGGAGGGGGACCAGCTCACCTGGCAGGTACTGGCCCCTCGGCTCCTCCTGTGGCTCCTCCCCCTCCTCTGTGGACGCGCTTCTCTGTGCGCTCCGCTCCGTGCCACGACGCAGAGCGCAGACGGTTTGTCCGCAGCACGGACGCCCTCCGGTCTCCCTGACTTGTCACCATGAGCACCATGGCCTCAGAGAGCGTGTTTTTCTCCACCTTACAGCCCAACACCTCGGTCACCACCTACGCCCTCCCGTCGGACGTCCAGCTCGGAAATGGGGGCGCACTGTCGGACGAGGCGGCCAGAGCGCGGCGCGTCCAGCAGCAGATCCAGATGAGACTGGCCGAGAAGACCACACTTCCGCGTCAGAATGGGTCCACCACCACCGCCTCCCACTACGCCATGTCAGGTAGATATCGACAAGTCCTTTAGGTTACACAGCTGGGGGGCTGCTCAGTCTTCTGCTCTCTGTCTCGAAAAAAAAACAAAAAAACCTCTGACTTTCTGACTTGGTTTGTTCAGAGCTGCAATAAAGTGCAGAACAGGTGCTGAGATCATCATCTGACCAATGAGCTGAGCTTTTATGGCTGAAGGTCTGTTTGACTTGAAGCTTTTAATAGCTGAACTTATGAGTCATCCTATTCAGAGAAGAAACGCGATCTTCTTGTTAAAAGGGACAAAATATGATCCACTTAAACTCCCAAAACATTTGGACTTGTCCAAAGTTTTATTCTCTCTTGGGTTCTGACCTCACGGACTGTTCTGCTGTCAGCACAGTGACAAGAGGCCAAACTGGTATTTGTATCTGTTAAAAGGCACCAGGTCTTTCTCCTTATTTCATTAAGTAATAAACACTCCAAAATACCATTTAAAACAGCATTGGATTGAGTATGGAGGGCTGAAAGTGCCCCCCCCCAAAAAAAAGCCTGCATGAAAAAAAGCATAAATAGCTTGAAAATGTATGCAAATCAATATATATATATATATATATATATATATATTCCATTGTTCTGTTTTTAATACATTATCTTTGCAGTTTCTCTTCATTTGTTACCATAAACACATTTATTGCTGCGTTTGGTTGCTAATCTGGTATTTGCAATCGTTTGAATATTTTTGACATTACTGCATGCGTTTCTGTCATACAATTCAAATGTAAGGGATGTGGCGTTATATGTTGAAGCCACATCCTAAGATACTCACTCGTTGGTTGTTTATAACAAGCTATGCTTACGCCATGTTCAACTGGCCTCGTTGGTTGAAAACTATTTTAGATTGATGTCTCCTTTAACCAAACCATGGTCCGGTTTCTGCACAAAAGTAGCATTTTTGCTGGTGACCAGGTTAGTTATTATTAAGTTGATTACAAATTGTCACGTGGCATCTAATACACCCAAACACCTAATTAACATTAACAGACAGAAATGAAACCGAAACGTTAATTACTGAAGCTTTTGTTTTTTTTAATATGCAAGGCAACCATTTTAGGTTTCAGGGTTAAAGATATAAGATCCTTAATATGTTTAAATTTGGAAGTTGTGTTTATTTAAGTTTATTATTCTGCTTTGATTCTCTTGACATATTCAACCCTTAAATGAAACACTTCAATCTAACACACAGAACCAAACATAAAAAAACGGCACTTCCTGCTGTGCAGTTTCGATACAGATGCCTCTTTTATGATTCAATACTTTATGACCGTCTGAGTCCTTTTCGTAACAAAATAATTAGCACAAGTTGTTTTTGTATAGTTGGAACAAAAAGTTACTTTTCAAAAACGATCTATTTCACTCCAGATTAAACTCTCCGCTTTTGTCGTCAGTGCTAAAAGTTATTAAGTTCTCCACTGAGCACGTCTGCCTTAAGACACCTCTGCATAATGAGGCTGAGAGGCAACAAATAAAATAAAATAAGAGTCACAGGAATATACAAAGGAGACAGAAATCTATATGTTTGGGGAAACAAAATAGATGAGAACGCAGCAAGGAAATGTTACAGAAAAATATATACGTTTTATATAAAATGAGCAAAAAAATCACATAAATAATTTAGGGAAGTAAAGAAAAATAGAGAACATGCAACAATAAATGAATAAACATTTAAAGTAGTTGAATTAGTTTGTAAGTTTCATTCACTGAGTTGTGTACACGTCTTAATTCTTGATTTTGGCAGTTTCAGGCTTCCATAGATTGTGATTTTTTAAATTTATTATTATGTCTTTTATGTTCAGTTTTAGAGCCAGTTGTGACTTTTTGCAGAATTTGTTTATAATAATGACAGAAAACATTAGTCAAAGAGGGAAACGTTCTCTGCGTACCGACCAGTGAACCCAAAACACAGATTACTTTCTCGTTTTCCTCCGACACGGTTCAAATGTCTCTGAATGTGAATGCGCTGGTTTTGTCGAGCAGCAGTGTGGATTTTCTCCACTCTCTTCCTCCTCAGGATTCCTGTGGATTTGTTTCTCGTCAGCTCTTGGGGGGGATTTTTGATTTGTCCTCGAGCAGCAGCAGCAGCTTTAGTATCTTGTCTGTGCAAATCACAAACGGTTAATGTGTAACAGGCCTAAACAAGTGCTGCTTTCATGAACTTCCCTGGTAGCAGGGCGAAGGTCTGCGGATAGGGTTTCACTTCTTTTACTTGTATAAAAGGGATGAGGGTTGTCGTGACGACCAGCTGTTTTTGCTTGTTGTCATAATACATCACAAAATACGTCCATGGGAGCAATCTTCATGCTGATCAGGGTGAAAGTTTATACGCTATGACTCCCCAAAAAGGGGATAAAACATTTCCTGGAGAAGTGGGAAATTATCTAGTGAGTAATTGCATCCCATTATTGATTTCATGCAGTTAAGAAGCTGAAAGTAGATCAAACACACGCAAAAAAAAAAATCTACTGGTGCGTGACAATTACTGTATTTTCCGACGTATAAGTCACAGTTTTTTGTGTGCATAAATTGGCATGCCTGAAACTTACGAAGCGAAGCGACGAATTTATGTTTTTTAAATTTATAACCCAATTTTTGGCTGAGATCTGATGATTTCGTTCATTCGGACATGGATATATTTTTTTTTGTATTATCGTTGGATGTAACTGGGACCCTGTGTACATAGTTTCGTTCCACCTCATGTACCACATGTGATGTGAACGACAATAAAAATCCTTGAATCCTTGAAAATATTGAACATCACCATTTTCAGCCATTAGAGGGCCCTCAACTAATATGGCAAGCCAAGTGTCTCATTAATAGGTAAAAGTGGCTATTAATGAGACACTTGGCTTGCCATACAGGTCACTTTCGTCTCGCTCCAGAACTCCTGGAATGCAGCTGATTTGACCATTAAAGTGCGTTTATTAAGGAAAAGTTCAACTGAGACACCTTTACTATAATTGCGAGCAAACAAATAATTGTTTTTAAGTGTTAATCTTGTTAAATTCTTGTTAAAGTCCTCCCGTGCACGCTCCCGCGGTCGCCATTTGGCAACCAATTGATTTTTTTAACTACACCGGCCCATGTTTCCAGGCTGTCAGCGGTGACGCATAATAGATGTGACTTATACGGCGAAGCAACGTATTTGTTTTGTTTCCACTTTCTTAGACATATTTGGACTGATGCGACTTGTACGGTGGAAAATACGGTATGTTGCATCTTGCAACAACAACAAAAAGTCACTGTGTACAACCAAACAGCAGAGAACACGCAGGGCCTCTCAGCACTTTGTTCGTGTGACCTTTGTATTCTGGGTAATGTCGAGGAGAGCTTTTTACTCATTTTTCTAGTTTTAGTATTTCCTAGAGGTGCTAAGATCAAACCTGTCTCGACATGCTGATGTTGCGTTTGAAAAGGGCTGAGCGCACAGTGACGCACGGAGCGTGTCCTGAACGGGTCTTTGTTTTTAAAACTCCATCGCACCTGTCAAACTCTCCTAACGAGTGTCTTTTGGGTTTGCTCAGGCCTTTGTTTGGAGGAGAACACATACAGTCTGACTGATATTAGCTCTTTAAACAAAGCATCTCAGAACGGAGAAGACTGTTATTTCAGAGCTTTGTGGCCTGACAGGACTTAGCATTTGCACGTGTGGAAAACAAAAACACCTCAAGGATTCAGGAAGGAATGTCTCCTTGTCTGTGTCTGCAGGCCGCAGCTTTTGTTGTCAATCAAACATGAGGGACACGTCTCAGCTGAAAAATCATAAATAAATATCCACACCGATGTGCATACGAGGAGAGCGCGAACAACGACGACGGAGAAAGAGTTTTTAGCGGGAGGTGTTTTCAGGGTGTGTTTGTGTGCGGTGAGGGCTGCTCAGGTGTGCTGGGTGTTGTCAGGGTTGGGTTTGGGTCACGTCAGAGAACATGTCGCTCATTCTCGGCTACACCAACTGGTTTTGAGATCGTGTGCCCCGCAGCAGCGATCGAGGCACTGCAGCCTCACATGGGAAGTGGAAAAACAGCAACTTCTCAGGAACAAGGTGAACACAAGCGCTGCCTCAAATATGCACCGAAACTTGTCTTTGTCTTATCAGCTGAGATCAGAGGAGGGCGAGTTAGATCAGGACGACCTGGGTTTAACACGGGACTGCTGTGGTCTGACGTAGAATAAAATAAAGCGCGTTGATAAGAGATTGAAGCGTTAACGTGAACGATTAGTGTTTTATTTTTGCATCAATTCACTACAGAACAGGTTGTGGTAATATCCCATCAGCTGAGCACTCTGAAACTACATTTCATCACAGTCATTTCAAAAACACGCCTTTAGACCGTCAAGAATGGTCTTTATAAACCAATCCTGCTGATCTACAGGGCGGAAAATTCAAGCTACTGGTTTTGTTTTACATCCACAACAAATTGTACATATATACAGCTCACGCAGTTTGTCACAATGCTGCAGAAAGCAATTTATACAACATGTTATTTGTGGTTCATCTTGCGCCACATTATCACCTTTTTAAAGCAACGTTTAGGTGAACTGAATGACCCTGGAGTTGCAACCTGCCAGTGTTAAGTTTGACGGTGTTGTTGTGGGACGCTGGTGTTGCTCCAGCTGCAGGGTGGAGACAGGAATGCATTTACATATCCATTGCTTCATGCGGTCTTAATGAGACTAATGTGTAGTATGACAGGACTAGAACAATACAAACAGCACGTTTCCATTTTTAATTCCAGTGAGCAAAGATAATGCGTTCGCCATCAAAATGTTTTTATTTTATTAGGGATGCACAACATTATCGGCATGGTATCGATATCAGCTGATATTAGCGATAAAGTTAAGTATCGGACATCAACCAGTCCATCAAAATAACTCACCGATATAAAAGGTGCTGTTTGTATTGTT